CAGGCGGCACTGCGGTGTCGAGCCACCATAACCATCTCGTGGCCTGCTTGGCTCCGGGACTGTCCAATGTGGGTGGCCAGGAGACCCGTACCGAGTGGGAGCCTCTGCCCCTGCCCTGACTGCCTGGCTCCTGGGCTGCCCGGCCGAGCGCTGGGTCTGACTGCAGGCTGATGTCACGTGACCGGCCGCGGTCATGGAGCCTTCCGGCTGGGAACATGCAGTTAACAGGTGACCATGGGGTGAGCAGGTGACCGGGTGACCTTTGACACATGTTAGGCCCTACTGCCCGACCACCGCGGTCACTGTGCCAGGTACCGCCTTCCTGAGTCACAGCTGACTGCGTCGCCCAGCATCTGGGCTCCCCGACCTGCCAACCAGTGGCAGCTTGGATGCTGAGGTCACTGGCGCCTGGTCAGACCGGCCACATCCCCACAGACGCGTCCTGTTCTGTCTCTCACCTTCACATTTACAACTCCCAGAGCCGGGCCGAGTCTCGGGCTCTGAGCAGCCCCAGCAGCGCGAGCTCACTGGGCGGAGACCAGGTGTCCCGGCCCCCTTCCCTGGAGTTGGCTGCTTTCTGGCCACCCAGCCTACTTGGATGTCCACGACCCAGGCAGGGACGGCCCTGGCGGAGGGCGGCAGTCCTGCGTGTCCAGGGGGCAGGTGCTGGGCTGACCTGAGCGCTGTGCCTGCGTCCTCCGTGGCGCTGGTGGGGTGTGCTTTGTCCACACAGGGATTAAGTCACTGCCTAGCAGGCTCCAGAGCCCCGAGTGCCACCCCTGACCCGGCCCTTGACCGCAGAGCTAAAGTTCTCAAGACTGACGTGGCACTGACCCGCCCAGGGCCTGGGCCTGCTGTCCCTGGTCGTGACAGCTGTTAGCCCCCGCTGGGGCCTTTGAAGTGGCCTGGGCCCCGAGCGCGGACCTAGTGGCCTTAGCACACTGGGGACTGGCATTGCCCCCAGAGAGCCCACCGCCTTTCTGCCATGACACCAAGATCTCCTCCCAGTTCCTGTCTTAGGATATGGCTGTGAACAAGGACCTGGAAACCGGAACTCCACGGTTCAGAGTGATGAGGCTCAGAGATGGGGGGATGCCCCCAGGGTCTCCACCTCGCTCTAGGCCCAGGGCACTCCCAGGCCCATGCCCAACCCTTGGAGTGAGCTGCTGACCTGGTGGCCCCCACACAGTGGGCACAGACGGGCGCGTTGTCTAAAACCTTTTGCTTGATAGTGAAGTAAGGGTGGGGTTTCTTGTAGATTTCTGCTATAGGGCACACGCTCACCAGACAAAGCTCACCCCCACCCCCCGGGATAGCCACACCGCAATTCCTCCTTCATTTTCGGGACTTGGGACACGCGTGCACACATGCATGGTGTTTTGACCACTGGGCCTGGGACTCAGACTGGCCAGCCACGTGGGAGTACGGCGCCTTAACCGTAGGACCTGCTGGCCCCACGTGGGACCGATTTTGATGGGGACATGTTCCAGTAAAGCTGAAGGCCTTGTTTCTTAGGGTAGCCCATAAGACTGTCCCATAGGTTAGCAGAATGCAATCTGGGTGACAAGTCATGGGGATTCCACCTTGCCACCCCCTCAGAGGCCTGTCCGCACAGTGAGCGGGAGCCGAGAAGCTGGCCACCCTGAGCAGTGTCAGGCTTAGGTTGTCATTTACCAGCACGGGCAGTGTCACAGCAAAGGTAATTTTTTTTTGCGTGCTCCTGGCCACCCTGACACGCCCGTGGTCACACTGGGCTGGCGGGATGCCGTGACCCGGGGCAGCCACCAGGGCCCAGCGTGGACGAGAGGCCGAGGGCTGGTGATGGTGTCCTGCTAGCACAGCCAGATTTCTGTCCCTCATAGCCTCCCGTGTCACCTCACACCACGGCTCGCTGTCTCCCTGGGGCTGCGCCTGACTCGATGGGCAGGAACCCAGAGGTGTGCACAGGCCCCTCTGGCACCCGAGTACAGCTGCGCCCCTCCAGGTCCCAGGGCTCTCTCAAAAGCCGGTGCAGGCACTGTGGGGTAGCACGAGGGCCCCAGAGCTGCTGTCAGGCACACCCAGGCAGGAGGCCCCAAAGCTGCTCTGGGCACCTCCCTCCACGCCATGTTGATGGGTGTCCGGAAACCCGTCCACTCCCCGCAGGACCGCTCACAGAGAGAAAGCTCTTGGGGAAGCAGCTGGGGCCGGGGACATGAGTCCTGGGTCCCCAGCTGGAGGCACACGGGCAGAAGTGGCACTGCGCCCTCTGGCCACCGGCCTGACCGTCTGGCTCCGATGAGCATTCTCACCCTCAGCAGTGACTGCCGCGGCTGGGTGCCAGCTGCCGCAGTAGCCTGTGGGGGGGGGCTGAGGCTGTCGCAGTTCACGGGGTTCCCCATGTCCTCGCTGGGACTTGCTGGGAAGGTGAGTTGAGGGTGGGGGATGGTGTCTGTGGGGTCTGGATTCACACCACCCAGGTGGGGCTGAGCGTGACTTGCCGGGCGGCCGCAGGGATGGACGGGCTCCGGCTAGTTCCCAGCACTGCAGGCAAGAACTTCATGTTTGAAGCATTTTTTTTTTTTTTGGGAGAGATTTTCGCTATAGGGCGCGTCCGCTCGCCAGACAGACAGACAGACAGAGAGACAGAAAGCGAGCAATCCGGCATCCCTCATCCCGGCGTGAGTTTTAAGCCACCGGGTCCGGGACACGAACCACGTTCGAATACGTGGGAATCCAGCGACATAGCCATTACGCTAACTGCTGGTTCCCTTGAAGCATTTTTTAACATGGCCATGAAGCAGCCCTCAGGGGCCACTGGGCCTTGTCCAGCATCCGGGAGGGTTCTCAAAAGGGAGGGAGCCCTGGTACCCAGGGACGGCCCTCCTGCAGATGCCGACTGGGGGGCAGCGTTTGCCCAGGACAGGTGGGGGCCTCGTTGGGGAGCTTCCTGTTCTCATTATTGTATGAGTTGGGGCTGTTTTAAGCTACAAAAAATGAAATGTTTTATTTCCTGCTGTGACGTCCCTGCATTTCTGCAGAGCGGCCCAACTCCAAAGTAACTCCCGTCTGCACCAGCGACCGCTAACCTCGGGCCACACACGAGCCATCCTGCCGAGGAAGGCTGCACGCAGGGCACCTGCATGGGTCCAGGCTCCCCCATCGCCCCCCCACAGGCTGACCCTAGCTGAGGCCTCCAGTGCCTGTCTCCCTGTCTGGAAGTGGAAACAGTGGCAGTCCTGTCCCCACGGCTGCAGAGAGCACAGCAGAGCAAGGCCTGGGGCAGACCCCGCGTCCACAGGCAGGGCCGGCAGGGTCAAGGCCACATGTCACTGTCCTGTCTGACCAGGTGCTCAGGCCAGGGGCTGGTCTGCCTCTGGGCCCAGGAGGTTCCCAGCAGGCGGCCCGGCCTCTCTGCCAGTGCCCCCCACCTGGACCCTGTAGCTTGGGGTCTGCTGGGAGCAGTCTCCCCTCCTGCTCCAAGTGGAAACCTCTGGGGCCCCGGTGTGTGTGGGGCGCCCGCCCTGACTAGCAAGGCTCTGGCTGCAACAGTTGTGGAAGGTGGAGGAGGGGCAGGCGGGGCCTCTGGGAAGTCAGGGGATGGCCACCCCAGAGGCTGCCAGCCCCAAGGTCACCGTGTCCCAGGGCCCAGCTCACTGGGAGTGGCCTGGCTCAGGAGGGGTGGGACCTGTGGCCACCCTCTAGCTCAGGCTGGGGAGGAACACCGCACCCCCCAGCCCCAGCCCTGCTGCAAGTTGTGCAGAGGCCTGTCGCGTCACAGGGGCCCAAAGGCTTTCTGGGACCCGGGCCCCACTGCAGCCACCGCTGCATCAGCAGGACTCGGTCCCAGGTGTCCCTCGCACGCCTTCCGCGTTGACGGTGTAGGAGCAGGAGGAGGGGGGCAGGTGGGGTGCGAACACCACCCGCAGAGTCCTGGCCGGGTCCCGAGTGGCCTCGTCCTCGCGGCGCCGGTCCACCATCAGCCTCAGGAGGAGCTGGTCAGCCCAGGTCGTGCCCAGGGCGGGCGACGCGCGCTCAGCCCAGGCGCTGGGGAGCAAGCATGGCCGTGCTACTGCTGGGAGCCCCCCTCCCAGGGCCCGTGCCCACAGGCGCCCACACTCACCCCTGCGGCCCAGCTGTGCCCTGCTCGACGGCCTCTGTCACCTGTCAATCCAGGTCAACCCAGTCAACTGCGGGCGGAGGGGCGAGGGGTAGGGGCCTGCTGCCACCCAGGCCGCGCCTCTCGCCCACCTGGTTGGTGCACAGCACGGGGCTGCGGAAGGTGGCGCTCAGCCTGCGCAGTGCGGCCCCCAGTGACTGCAGACGCCTGGCCCTGGCGGGGGCGTCCTGGCTGTCAAATTCACAGCGGAACGGCGCTGCCACCGAGTCTATGACCACCAGGCGGGCCATGCCCCGGGCCAGCAGGATGGGGACCTTGCTGCTCACGCACTCCAGCAGGGAGTCCTGGGGAGTGGGCACATCCGGCCGTGGCTGCTCTGTGGTCCCCAGTCCTTCCTCAGAGGTCTCAGGCCACATGCCCTCTGCCCACGGGGCCCTGCAGCCTGTCCCCCCAGCCCTCTCAGTCAGGCCCGTCACGGTGAGGCCCCACGACACACAGGATCGCAGGTGCCCTCATCACCAAGCTGTGCCCTTGTGGGCAGGTCTGGGTGAGGCAGTGGCCCAACCGCAGGCTCCTGTCACCAGGTGGGGCAGGACAGCCCTGCTCTGTGCACCCACCCCTGCACAGACTGCACATCGGCCACGGGAAGACCCCAGGCACCCACCATGCTGAGCAGCCCGGCCCCTCGCTGCTCTCTCACCCTCGGTCTCCTCTGGGCCTGGTGGGCTGGTGCAGCCCAGCCTGGGGCAGGGGTGCAGGCTTTAGGCCCTGCAGTCCGGGTGGCCGTGCCAGTGGCTCCGTGGCCAGGGCCAGGCCGAGCAGGCTCACGTAGGCCTGGGCCCACCGGGCCCACCCGCCCAGTCCAGGGCTGCAGACAAGGCGAGGCCACAGACATGGCAGGAACC